CAGGGAAGGGCCGGCCCCGCGCGCGGGGAGGGAGCTTTTAAAGCTACACGCACGCCTCCCGGTGCCGAGCGCGAGCGCCGAGCGGGGTTCTCGCCACCCGGGCGACGGGGAGGTGTCCTGCGCTGGCGGGACTGGAGGCGGACTAGCCCGTGTGGACTCCGCTGACCCGGGGCACGGAAGGACAGCAGGCTACCGACTTAGCTCTTTCCCACCTTTCCAGACACTCCCATTGCCCGTTCCCGCACTGCGGTGCACCCACGCTTCCCTTTCGGCTAACTTTCCCGCATCCAGACCCTTTCCTTCTATCAGACTTCAAACTACCCCAGACATTGCCTTAAATCAGATTAATTCAGAAAACAAAATACGGACAACCTTCACAGAGCACTTACAGTGTGCCAAGCTCTCGGCTGGAGGCTCCGGAGATGACAGGTATGCGTTAGACACAGGTCACTTTGTTCAGTTATTCAACCACTTACTCAACATTTAATCAGCACCTCTGTGTACCAGGCCCCATGCTAGACTGGGGTACAGGAAGGAAAATACAACATTTCAGGAAGCCGACAACTCCTGGGGGTCACTCCCGAGTGAACTGAAGGGTGGTAAACACAGGACAAAGGCAAGCTCTAGAAGCAATCTGAGTGACCAGGAGAGCAGGGAGAGCGGGGAGGGCCGGGCGCAACCCAGGCGGGGGCTGGGAGCCTCTCCTGGAAGGCAACCCAGAGCTGTATCCAAAAGGGAAGCAGGAGTTATCCAGGTGACAGTGTGAGGGAGGCCGGACTGAGCATTCCAGGTAGTGAGGAGGAGGGACAGCAGGATTCAGATGCAGCAGTGACCGCAGGGAGGGTGAGTTTAAGCCAACTGTGGACTTTTAGAGATACCTTTTTTGTTTGTTTGTTTTTTCTTTTTTTTAAATATATCTTTATTGATTTCAGAGAGAGGAAAGGAGAGGGAGAGAGAGAGATAGAAACATCAATGATGAGAAAGTCATTGATCAGCTGCAGCCCGCAACCCGGGCATGTGCCCTGACCGGGAATCCAACCCCGATCTCCTGGATCCTAGGTCCATGCTCAACCACTGAGCCACGCCTGGCCAGGCTAGAGATATCGTGTTGACAGCTCTGTGGAAAGTGGATTAGAGGAAGACCAGATCCTGGAGAGACTCGGGGGCCATGGTTAGAACTTGGATTTTATTCTGGAGCAGAGGGAACCCAGAAGATTCCTCTGGGGCTTTGTGGCTGGTGGATCTCAGGGCTAGGCCATAGGAAAGAAACCGGTTCAGTGAGGAGGTTTGTTACTTGACTGGAGCTGAGAGCGGAGGGGCTGGGGTCGCAGCAGGGATGGAGGGGAGGGGATGCTTTGAGAAATTATTTAGAAGACCATGGCAGGACTTGGTTGAATTTTAAGAGGGAGGAAGAGTCCAGGAGGACCATAACTTAGAGTGTGGTAGCCTGAGTAGATGGTTGCACCACCAGTTGTGTTAGAGAACAGAGTGGCAGAACAGGTCTAGGGTGAGGAAGAGGAGTCCGACTGGGAAAAGCTGGAGATATCCTGAAGACAGGTGGTTATATGGGTCTATGCCTGGGCCTGAGAGGGTTTTTTTTGTTTGTTTGGTGTGTGTTTTTTTAATCATCATTGGAGGGGATTAGACTGAGTAGAAAGATTGTGTAGACTAGTAAAAGTAGTAGGTCCAGGTAAGAGTCTTGGGAAAGAGTCCCTGAATGAGATGACAGGAACTGTCAGGGAGGTGGGAGAAGAAGAGGAGAGTTCAGGCCCAGGAGGAGAGGGTTTGTTGGAAGCATGTACGCAACAGTGTGGAAGGCTGCAGTGAGCAGCTGTGAGAGAAGGAATGGAAATTGTCTGTAGGAGGCCGCTGGTAATATGGCAGGGGCAGGTTTTTGTTGGGAAGGGGAAGGAAGGTGGCAGGAGCCAAATTGTTGGACACTGAGGGGTGAGTGGTTGGTGAGGAATGAGACTTAGTGAATATAGGTGACATTGTTAAAAGTTCAAGCAGGGTTGTAGAGATCTTGAATTAGAGGTGAATGAGGGCTTAAGGGAGATGGGGCTGGATGGTGATTCGAGGCTGGCCCGCAGGGAACTTGAACTCCAGGAACAGAGATGGTTGTGCTTCCATCACCATCCAACTCCAGAACTCTTCATAATGAAAAGCTGAAACTCTGTCCCTATTAAGCAATAACTACCCATTCTCCCTCTCCTCCCCTGGCCCCTGGCAACCACCATTTCACTTTCTGTGTCTGTGAATGTGAGTACTCTAGGTACTTCATAAAGTGAAATTATACAGTCCCACTAATCACTTTCGTGGGAGCGGTGATGCTAAGGGGTGGCCAAGATCAAAATGGGCTGAGCCTGAGGAAATAAAATGAGTTTCTAGTCACAGGCCTATGGAACCATCTGCCCATATCCAAAATGGGGAAGTTGTGTTTGAACTGGGAGTGGTTGGAGACAATGAACTCAGTTTGAGAGGCTGGGATGTGACTGCTTAATACCTAATTGATATTGGGTCTCATTAATAGAAGTAGGATTTTTTTTTAAAGGTGACATTTCTTTTGTCATCTATGTGGATCAAACTACGTCTAAGACCTCAATTCACTGGATGGGTCCACAGGAGGGCAGGCAGTATTGAGGAAGGAGAGATTGGTGTATATCTCCTGTGAGAAGTGTTAAGCTGGTCAGGGCAGGCTGGAAAAGAGCAGTCTCAGGAGGGGTTTCTGACTGTAAATGTCCAAGGGGCTGCCAAGGTCAAGAGGGAATAGACAGGTTCTGGGTGGTTCTCAGGCTTGCCTTCCTTACTGTTTGGAAACTGGCTCATTCTCTC